GGCAATGAGTAAGGAGACAAAACAGCAGAAGGATTTATTATGCATAACCCAGGGGAATGCAGACTTTTGCAGACAAATGGAAACCGGCAGAACAACCATGACATGGAGGTTGCATGTCTACAAGGTGAATAGATTTTTCCAACATACTCCCAATCCTTGGTTTCTCTGCTGTGAACAGTTGTCCACTAGGAACTAATCATGACCCGGTAAGAGCTTTCCCCCACAGTCTGTGATATCCAGTCCCTGAGTTCCCCTGTACTCACCCCACAAAACGCTTTTGGCTGAAGGCAGCCACCAGAAGAGCACTGAAGACCAGAAGACCCCTCATGATCAGCAAGGGAGAATGTCACTCAGCTCCTAGTCCCTCTATATGTGATGGTCTTCCAACCAGAGTTTCTGAAGGGTCTTCCTTTCAGAAACAATTATTCATGTACACTTTGAGAACAGAATTAGAGCTAGCGCTGCAAACAGATATATTAACATTACATTAGTTCCCATGAACTCAAGCATTTGCTTAATTAGATGGAAACAAAGGGGCTTGTATCTGCTGGTCAAAAAGAGGGAATGATGCTTCAGAAAGCACTTTCCATAAATACAGCAAGACTTGCTTTTGCATGATTTTTTTTCTATAGGATGTGCTCTACTTTTAACAGAAGGTAATTCAATGTGTGGTCTTTTATAGGGGAAATGAGGCTGGGTAATCAACACATGCTTCCCCCTGGTCCAGATTGAATGACTTGAGGAACTGTTGCATATCCCCTAACTAGGAATGGCCTCCTGAAATTGCAAACACATTTCTGAGATCCCTTGTAAGCCTTGTGCTGTTTCCATTCTGTCTGCTGGGGCAGACCACGTGCTATAGACACTTATACATGCTCAAGTGTAAAAGTCTCAAGACCTGGAATTTGCATGACAAGAAATTCTTAGCCACCCAAGCTTTACAGCTAAGGCACTGTTCGCTGTACAGCAAGAGCATCATTGTTGCCTAGAAGTGTTTGCCTGCCAATCTCAAGGAGCACAGGGCCCTTCTACATGGTTTAAAAGAAAATCATTACATGGAGTAGATGACCTGTGACGCACAGCTGAACAATAGGGCTGTGCAAAACGGCACTGTTCCGTTTTGACTTGAGTTTTGAGGTTTGGGCGAATTTCATTTCAAGTCAAACCAGCTGTTCCATTTCGCTTCATCGAAACAGTGAGGCTGTTTTGATGCTGTTTTGATGTTTCGCCCATTCGCTATCATGGAGAAGCTCAAAACAGCCTCTCTCATCTGGCAGGCAGATTGAGGCCCAAGCCCGGGAGGGCTGCCGCGGCTGTGCCAGTCCTCCTGGGGCTGAGGGCCCCCGAACTGCCTGCCAGATAAGAGAGAAAAGCTGGTGCTGCCACCTGGGACTGGGGAAGGGAACTGAGCCCAATTGCTCAGTTCCCCTCCCCAGCACTAGATTGGGCTGGGGATGGGAAGTCAGCCCAGCTGGGCTGAGTTCCCAACCCCAGCCCAACAATCAGGCTGGGAAACGACGATCGGGCTAGGGAAATGAACTCAGCCCAGATGGGCTGAGTTCATTTCCCCAGCGTGATGGTCATGCTGGGGTTGGGAATTCAGCCCAGCTGGGCTGAGTTGCCTTCCCCAGCCCAATTGTAGGGCTGTGGGGGGAAACTGCATGATCCCACTCAGTTCCCTTCTCCAGCCCAATTGCAGCGCTGGGCAGGGGAACTGAGCGGGGCTCAGTTCCCTTTCCCTGCGCTGTGATCGGCTTCCTGCACCCAGCCGCGGGAGGCGGGGAGAGCCAGGGCTGCGCTCCCCACCTAGCTGAGCCTGGAGCCGCTGGGAGCACAGCCCTGGTTCTCTCCTGTCTCCCACCACCTGGCTGCTGGCTGCTTTGAAACCCGAAATGTTTCGACTAGCCTCATTTTGTTTCAAGGCTGTTTCGGAGCCTTTCATTTCATTTCAATTTCGCTGTTTTGAGCTCGAAATGAGTCGAAACAGAGTTGAAACAAAACGGCCGGCGAAATTTCGGCCAGCCCTACTGAACAGTGCCTTTTGTCTCCAAGCAGACAGCAGTGGTGCACAGATATGGTACCCATCTTTTATTTGACAAGGCTGGCTGCAAAATTTCCAAGTGCGGTTCAGTTCCAAAAAATGATAGTGTAGAAATGGCACCTCCTTAGTGAATCCACTGAGTGCAAACAGCTTGTACAAGTGGGAGAGACAGATACACTTGATGAATAGAGACAGGTTTGGAGAATGCAGTAATAGCCAAGTAGAGAGACAGATATAAGGAAGTCTTGTCTTGTTAGACAAAAAAATTCTTCTTTGATCTAGTAGTGAATGCCCCTGTATACCTAATGTTCCACCTGCATCCTATGTAAGCACCATCCTAATGTCCCTCAAGTCTGAAAAAAATATTTTGTTCTTCCTTAAGATCTGAATCTACTTTTCAGTCCAACCTGGAGACAGAGTAAGTAACCCGCAGCTGCTGGGAGCCCTGGAGGATGCAGAAATAAGTCTGTTCAATGTTGATTTATGCAAATAAGACCTTCCTTGATTTAGCAGTGAATATACTTATCTACCGAATGTGCCACCTGCTTCCTATCCAGGCACCAGCCTAATGTCCTTCAAATGTGAAACAAAATATTTTACCTTTCAGTCCAATCTGGAGACAGAGAAACTCACCAGCTGCTGATGCCCTGGAGGATGCAGAGATAAGCCTGTTCAGTGTTGATTGATGAACACGGGTAGGAAACATGCACCCTTGATCCTTTGGTGCCTCTGGTCCATGACCATGAGCTCCCCTCAGAAATGTTGTTGGCCCTGGAGAAACCAGTTCGCTGATTAATAAAACAGGCAATGCCTTTGATGTACTTACTAGTCCTCCTAGGAATGCAGTGTGTCCAGGAAGTGTAGCACCTGAAGAGGCAGCCTGGGTGGGGTCAGGAGGAACTTCCTAGTGTGGGAGCCAAGCAACAAAGCTAGACCCTATAGACCCTTGTGAGGACAGTATAGTACATTTACTGTAAATAGTTCTTAAAGTGTTGTTTCCATGTGGCAAGCTTCACCAAGATATTACACTGCCCACCAGTTGTGCTGGGAGACTGGTTTTATGTCCACAGGTGTGTGGGAACAGGGCAGGCTGCCTGCCAGCCAGGTATCTTCATTTTATAATTGCTTTCTGGACTAAGGGGAAACACGATGACCACTAAGGTGGTTTTCCTAGTCGCTGGGGATATCCACTTTTCTGGCAAGGGGCAGTACCCGGGTGGAGGTAATGCATAGTTAACCTCCCACTTTCATTTCCAGTGGGAAGATCTTGGTTTTACTCCCACTTTATGGAAATGGCAGACTCCTCCCTAGCTTGCTCCCGTGGCCGTAAGGCTGAGGGCAAGCAAAACTCGGGGGCATCTGAACCCCAAGCCTCTGGCCTTGGGCCTGCACATAGGATGCCTGCCAAAGGAAGCATCCTAAGCCCCAGGTGCGGGTGGAGGATGTTTGCTGGTAGCAGGGCCACATACGCTTCTTGAATGACTCATGGATTTGGACTTGATTTGGCTGATTTGGCTTGGAACATGAACAATTTTCCTTAATTAAAAAAAAAAAATCTGGACTAAATTCAGTTCTGGTGCAAAGGATGACAACTTCACTGGACCTAGGCTGGGAGTTGGTCCTTTGTTTTTCAGTCCCCCAGGAGGGTTGAAGGTACACTGTAATGTGTGACATTATTTAAAAATACCGTCCTTACCCACCTTTCTAATATCTTTGGAAAAGTATTAAAGCAGGACTACATTTTTAATTTGAATGGATGTTTCCCCGTCCATGCCCTGTGCTTAGTTGTCACTTCCAGGCTCCCGTGCCTCAGCACAATACTAAGACTTATATGCAGAGACAGGCAGCTAGCAAGGCATCTCAAGGCATCTTTAACATCAAAAAAGGCACAAGGTCCTGACACTTGAGCTGAAGGAGTGGGGAAGAAGACCTGTTTCTACTGACTTTCTTTAAATTGCACCTTGGCTATTGATCCCTTTGACATCAAGCCTCTTGTAAAGGTTTGACTTTATGCATTTAAGTCTGGGGCCTACTTTGCGGTGGGTGGTGTTTTATACCCAGCTCTCAAAAGGGATGAGAATGCAGGCTGCAAAATGAAGATTTCCCACCTGTCTTTCTCCTGTTTCAACGTTTTGTTCAGGTGACTGTGGAAACAAACCATCAACACAAGAGGAATACACAGGAATTGCATCTACTTGAAGCGATTACATCTTTACAAAGGAAATAATGTATAAGAATTGTGGTAGATTATCACCTCTACTATCAGCATAGTGGTAAAGGTAAATATAGTATTCAGTAATATTCATATAGGTAAATATAATATTCAGTAATATGAATTAATGGTCAAAGAATCTGGACAGAGCTTCCATCTTACAGGCTGGTGAATTTTTAGCCTCTGCATCAGTCAGGAATAAAACTCATATTTTTAAATATTTATCCCTCTTCAGCATGGCAGCATTTTTCTAGTAATCTGACCTGATTGTGGGACATCACAGTTAGCACGCAACAATTTCAGTGGGGGTACGGGAGAGGGTATGTGATTCCTTCCACCTTTGACCAACTCATAATCTATCGACTCAAACAAGAGGGATATTAACTTTTCATGCTGCACAAAGTAAACTTCCTTTTCTGGGGCATCCAATAGACATTGCCAATGGATCCACAGTGATATCATCACAAAAGTTATTATTCTGGTCACTTTGCTCGAGGCACCTGTCTTTCCCCTGACTCATGAAACAACCCTGCAGCCAGAAGTCAGTTAAAATCCTTTCTAAAAGAGTACAGATGTTGACATCAGTGTCCTACCATGTGTCAGTGGAGGGTGCGCCATGGGGTACATCCTTTTGGAGACAGATTTGTCCGGACATCTCTAGAGGCAGGCTGGGGGTCGGGTTAGCCTGTCCTCTCTGGTGTGGCCCCATTTGGAACAAGGGCTGAGTTCCCAGGCTCCTATGCAGAGCTATGGTAAGACACATGCATCATTTCTGGCAACATCTGTTTAGGAAATGTCCCTGTGCTTCAGAAAGAGTTATCTGCACTACACTGCACACTGGTTAGACACTGCAGAGGATATTTGCATTCTGGCCTCCTGCCATTTTGCTTGTAGAAGCTGTCGTCCCACCTTCGCCGATGTGCAGCATGGCCAGAGCTGGCAAGCATGTGAATCACTCCAAACCAAAAGCAGCTGCATTTCTGGTTTAGATGCAGTCTGTGAAGTCTTACTCTGGTCAGTAGCAGCCTTAGGGAAGGGCAGACCAGGAGACCACCTGGGGCCCTGCACTTTAGTGGGCCCCAATATTCCCCACTTCAGTTGCAATAAAAAATTAATTACACTGAATATTTGTGGGGTGTAGGTTGTATACACTGAATATTTGTATTATTCATATTGTATTAAGATACTTTCATTGCAGTTTCATGGAGAGGGCAAAGTGAAAATGAAATCGAAAATCTTTGACTTGTTTCTAGGTCATCCAAATGAAGCCTCGAAGGGGCCCCAAATGACTCTCTTGCCTCGGGTCCCAACAGCCCTAAGGCCACCACTGCATATGGTGATTTCTTCTGGGTGAAGGGCTTTATTGGAATGGAAGAAAATATTCTGCAGACAGGTTATGCTTAACTCCAACTGTCTGTAAGCACATGGAGGGACCCCAAAAACTTGGCATAATGGTAGTGTATTTTTTTCAGCAGTGAACATGCGGGTTCCTGAGTGCTGATCTGGGCTGCATGTTGTATCCTAGCACTTTGAAAGTTCAGAAGAGATCTGCACGTTTTTGTTTCTTGTATTGCATTTCTTTCTGTAGGAGGGTTGAGAGAGGCTGTTAGCCATGCAAAGCAGCGATCAGGCAGAAGGCAGGGCAGGGAGGCACTTTGTAGACTAACTTAGGAAGAACTTTCTGATGTGGAGGGTGGTCACGCATCGGGACAGGCTAACTTGAGAAGTTGGGGAATCTCAATCCCTGGGAATTTTCAAGAATAAGTTAGACACTCAGCTGAGATGAGCTTGGGATGTTTTTTAATTAGGGAGGATTCTGCCTTTACATGACCTGATCTGATCCCTTCCAGCCCTACTTTCCTATGATCCCTATAATTATTGATGCCAGACAGAGTCTAGATTATTCTAGACATACCTTGTTCATGTATTTGGAGAGAGTCCAGCAGAAGGCATCAAAAATGGTTGGGGGCTGGGGGGCATGACTGGTGAGAAGAGGCTGAGGGAACTGGGCTGATTTAGTCTGGAGAAGAGAAGACTGAGGGGGATTGAATAGCAACCTTCAACTCCTTGCAGGGGGGCTGCAAAGAGGATGGAGCTGGGCTGGTCTCAGTGGTGACAGATGACAGGACAAGGAGCAATGGGCTCAAGTTGCAGCAAGGGAAATTCAGGTTGGATATTAGGAAGAATTTTCTCACTAGGAGGGTGGTGAAGCACTGGAATGAGTTACCTAGAGAGGTGGTGCAGTCTCCATCCTTGGAGGTTTTGAAGACCTGGATAGACAAAGCCTTGGCTGGGATGATGTAGTTGGGGCTGGTCCTGCTTGGAGCAGGGGGTTGGACCAGATGTGACCTCCAGAGGATCCTTCCAGCCCTCGTTGTCTATGATTTTTCCTAAAGCATTCACTGCTTACTGCTGCTGAAGATGGGCTATTGGGGTAGATGGAACTATGGTCTGACCCCATATGTTCTTAATTGACAATGCAGGTACTCAACACCACTGGAAACAAGTCAGTGTTGCAACAGGATATCCGCATTTAGAAAACACTTGTAAATAGGGGCTATAACCACTCCATGCTTCAGTTTTCCTATCTGTAACAAGAGTTTTGTGTGAACCGATTAGTGCTGGTCGCAGGGAGTTTTGTAGGTGTTAGAGTAACTGCTAACTTGTCATTCTGTTGAATTAAAAGGGCCTCGTTAGTCCCTATCTGAAACAGTGCCTGCAGAGTCGATTATTAGCGCATTTGAGAAATAGTCCTACCCTGGCACAAGAGATGGTGCCACGTCAGCAAAGTCATAGTTCTGAAGCGAGAGTAGAGACATTTTATTGTATTTATTTATTAGAAGAAGGAGGAACTCAAGAAAACCTAACTAGGATCAGGGAGAAAGTACAAACCAGAGCTCCTAGCATAGTTAGAAATACATTTTTCCTATTAGCAATGGGTATTTAACAGTTGGGGAGGACAAGACTAAAAGTCTGGGTGCAGGGTTGCCAATAGAGAGGTTAAGTTGAAATTATCCTTTGTGGAAGTGGCTTGGCTGATCACATATGCTGTAAGTACAGGTTACATGATAGACACTCCCTTCTCGCCAAAGCAAATATTTCCCAACCACTATAAATAGTTAGTAGCGCCCTCCTGTCACGTAGCAATGCTCTCACAACCCTTGCCTCTACCCTAATGCAGATCCTTCGACTGGTCTCCTCAGCTGTTTGGTAAAGGGCCTGGATTTTTTTCATAGAATCGTAGAAAACTAGGACTGGAAGGGAACTCAGGAGATCATCTAATGTAACCCCTTGCTCCAGGCAGGAGCATCCCTGACTAAGCCATCCCAGGCAAGTGTTTGTCTTACCTGCTCTTAAAAGCTTCCAAGGTGAAAGATTTCACAGATCTCTGGGTAGCTTGTTCCAATGCTTGACCACCATCATAATCAGAAAGTTCTTGCTAATATTCAACTTAAATTTCCCTTGCTGCGATTGAAGACAATTGGTCCTTGTCCTCTCTCCTGTGGTCATAGAGAATAGTCTATCCTCATCTTCCATGTAACCACGCTTCCGGTACTTGAAGAAAGTTAACAAATCCCCTTTTCAGTCTTTTTTTCCAAACTAAACAATCCAAATTATCAGCCTTTCCTCATAAGTCATGTTTCCCAGGTCTCGACTCATTTTTGTTGCTCTCCACTAGATTCTTTCGAATTTTTCCACATCTTTCTTGAAGCCCGGAGCCCAAAACTGGTCACAATACTCCAGATGAGACCTCATTAGTGTGGCCCCAATAGCTTGCCGTGATCGTATAGTGGTTAGTACTCTGCGTTGTGGCCGCAGCGACCTCGGTTCGAATCCGAGTCACGGCATTGCCTTGTAAGCAGTGGCACAGCAGGGGGTTGAGATTTTCCTTCCGACCCTAACATCTATGAATGGAGTGGGAGAATCACTTCCCTTGATTTGCAAGTGATGCCCAGTACACTATTGGCTTTTTTATAGCAAAAGCATACTGTTGGCTCTTGTTCTGCTTTTCATCCGCTGTAACCCCCGGTCTCTTTCTGCAGTACTTCAGCCTAGTTGGTCTATCCCCAGTCTGTACTTGTGCATGTGATACTTCCGTCCCAAGTACAGGACTTTGCATATGTCCTTATTGATTTCATTTGAATGATTTCAGACCAGTTCATCTAGGTTATTCTGAGTCCTATCCCACTCTCCAGTGTCTACAATTCCTCACAACTTGGTATCATCTGGAAATGTGGTAAGCACACACGCAGGCCCATCATGCTATAATTAATAAAGATATTAAACAAGACCCAGGGCACACCTCAGGTAATGCCACTCAATACCTCATTGCAAATGGACTTTGAGCCATTAATGGCTACTTGTTGAACATAACCAACCACTTATGTATCTACCTTACAGTCCTTTCACATAGACTGTATTTCCTTAGCTTACTAATAAGAACGTTGTGGGAGACGGTGTCCAATGCCTTGCTGAAAAGAAGGTATGTGACATCCACTGATGGCCTAGTCCTAAAATTTGTGTCACTGTGTAAGAAAGTTTATAGGTACAAATGCCAAAGTCAGGACAAAAAAAATGATGTGCAACTAGAGATCTTTATGTACCGACGCAGTAGTTTGAATGTACAAAGGGTTTAATACCATTTTGACTACAATGCTATATCCGTACAGATTTCTCTAACATATCAAAGGACTAAGATTTTTGGGTTCCCTTCCCTTCTTCTAATATGGATGGTCTCTCACATGTTCCATGATAGACTTCAGACCCAGCCAGGTCTCTTCTGCAGTTGGGATGATTTGATCAGCTGGCAGAAGGAAACCATAACGACCTGTGTCTCGCAACTCAAAGGCAAAAGAGTACTTGATGCCAAAATCGTAGCTCCAATCAATGCTGCCTCCACTGGCTTGATCTGAGAGAGAGAGAGAGTGAGAGAGAGAAACCTCACTGAGTAGATACTATATTGAAATGGTCTGTATCTGTGTCCACCTCTACCAACTAATGAGTGATATCTATCTGAGCTGAGAGTGCTTAGTACCATGTCTGGCCCTATACGAAGAAGTGAAACAGTTTAGTAGGTTTGCATGTGCATGGCAGCTACTGTACTATCATCAGCTTCATGATGGTAACACGGATATGGAACAGGCATTAGGTCTACCTGTGGTGGATCAAGTCAGGTTGACTGGTCAAAGACTCAAGAGTAGCATTCTTACATTAGTGTAGGGGGTTGGACCAGATGATCCTTGAGATCCCTTTCAACACCATGATTCTGTCTGACTGATGGTGTGATCCATTCAACGCACCGTTACACAGGGGGACCTTTTAGTGTGTTGAAGTCCCCACCTGAAGGAGTGGGGAGTGGACCCTTCCCTCAGCATAACCCAGCAAACTCTGAATTGCTAAATACTTACAGATAGTTGAGCATATGGTCCCCACTTTAAAGCTGGTGCCATGCAGGGAAGTCAGAGCATTGGCAGCAGCTTTCCCCACGGTATCCTAGAGGGGAAGAAGCTTGGATGATTAAGAGAGAAGGTTTATTAAAAAGATGAAATGTTCAAACTAAAAAAAGGGAGTGTTTCACTATCCTGAACATCATTTAAAGAAGATCCAAACTGATTGATAGCCTACCCCCAGCCCACCAAAATATAGTTATGCTAAACATACTTATTTCTTAACTGCTGTCTAGCTGAATAGTAAAGCACTCACAACACCTGTCATATATTAGGATTCGAGTTGCAGGCAGACTGAATCATAGCCATATTCGATCTTTCGGTAGTTCATCCAGTTCAATATGCAGTTAGCAGTGGCTTTAGAAGGAGATGCAACAAAGCCCCATAGTCAGTTATGGAATAATCTGAAGTTTCTTCCTCACTTCCAACAGCTATAGCTCAGTTTATGTGAGAAACACAATTTCTTCAACTACAAAAAGGATTTGTTCAAGTACAAAAAAGGTTTGTTGTGAAGAGGAGGGTGATAGACTACTCTTTCGTGTCCACACAGGACAGGAAAAGAAGTAATGGTCTTAAATTGCTGCAAGGGAAATTAATATTAGATATTAGGAAGAACTTTCTACCTCTAACGGTGGCTCAGCGCTGGAACAGATTACCTAGAGAGGCTGCAGAAACTCCATTCTTGGAAGTTTTTAAGTGCAGGTTAGACAACTGCTTCTCTGGGATGGTTTAAACAGGAATGATTCTGCCTTGAACAGGAGATTGGACTAGATGACCTCCACAGGTCCCTCCCAGCCCTAGTTTTCTATGATTATGTGATTAATTGATATTCACTTGATTAACAAAATTAATATTATTTTTATCCTTTTTATAATGGTCAGTGTTTTCGTAATGCAGGAAGATGAGACAGGAAGGAAGTGTGGACTAGATCAGGAATGTGTTACTGTACTGGGTGGGAATGCTCCCTATTTATATATGACTAAGAATTTCCTTTTTTAAAGACATTTTGTGGTGCGACGTTTTCATTTCAGTTACATTTTCAGCCCATACTTTCTGTCTTGATGGCTTCACATTAGCACTTGATTAACACTTATATGTAGAGAACAATATCAGAGGAAGGCTTAGGATCAAGAAGCGGTTGTATCTCACCAGCTCTCCGTAATCAGCTGGTTCGGTGCACTTATACCCATAGGGATACATCAGGAGCTGGGAATAACTGTGGATGGTGAGGAAGGCTTTGATGTTTCCATGGTTCTTGATAAAATCTACAATAGATTTTACTTCCACTTCAGAGTTGGCATGGGGTCCATGGTAGGAGTCAGAACAGTGTTGATCACTGGATCCCGGACCTGTTGGTGAAAGAAGGAGCCAAAAGACTAACTTGTAAAACCAGAATGCAAGGGGATTCAAAACAGACTGACACAAAGCTGGAGTTTGCCAGGTATCTTCAGCAAGATAGCTAAAATCAGGTCTGCTGTAGAGAAAAAACAGAGTATATTGGTAGTTGCTACAAAAACACTTACACAGAGTAAGAGTGAGTTAGAGACATATGGTTATAACTCACGGATAATTCAAACACACTTTTTCTCATGGCCAATCAAGCAATAAGAAATTCCTTTTATGTGATGTGATAGCTATCACATTTTAAAATGTTTATTTCTGCCTTCTTTATGATGTTGACTCGGCTTCTCATCTCAGTTACATAATTGTATACCTGGAATACTTCCACTGGCTTCAGCAAAATCACCTTGGATTTATACTAGTATAATAAAGATTAGCATGTGATCCACTAACTTTTAAGCAAGCAGCAACATATGATTTGCTAATTCTCCCTGTCACAGTGGGTGCAGAAATACAAATAGAAAAATAAATACATTTGGAAATACTTGATCTTATCCATCTAATTGTATTTAAAAAATAACAATAGAAACCTTCCAAGTCAATATATTCAGTACTAAAAATAATGTATTCACCTGAATCCCTATTGGCCATGCTAATGGGATCAGCAACTTGTGAATATGCAGCAGAACTCAAGCTGGATTGCACTGAAGGAGGAGAGTTGGACCACACTAAGTAAACCCCCTAAACCTAGTAGATTTGTGAAATGCGCTCCCTAGCCTGGCATACTCAAAACATTCAGCTGTATGATTTTTTTATTTCTGGGATTGCCTTCCTGTGAGATGAGGAATCTATTTAAAAGGATGGAAAGTAGCTTCCATAGTAAAAACTGGGGCTGATCCTGCTTGGGGCAGGGGGTTGGACCAGATGTGACCTCCTGAGGTCCCTTCAGCCCTCATTTTCTATGATTCTGTGATTCTGTCTGTAAAAGAAAATTCTGCTTCTACCTCCAAAGCCTGCATCCCAATTCCTGTTTGGATCAACTCCAACGCAAAAACTCCCAGCAGCCTTGGAGCGTGTCTTCCGCCACATACGGTTCTAAAACAGAGACACCCTGGTTTCAAAAGGAGCAACAGGTGGCCATTATATTAAATTTTCTAATCAGAAATAGTTGTCATTCATCTATAAGGGATGGGCCAAAGGAAACAGTGGAAGCACTAGTGAATGTATGGTAGGACACAATGGTGGGTTTTTTGTGACCCCCCTCTTGTGTGATTCATAATAAAATATGTGTTTGCTGAACGTGTTTTCCTACATGGAAACTTTATATTTATGAGGAGGCTTAGGAGATCATCTCACAGCCCCCCAAATCACCCCATTCACTTTGGAGATGGAAATACAGTTACACTGGGTGCATCCACACATTCATTAATAAGCCATAGTTGCTGCACATTAAGTATAGTACTTGGATAACCAAGTACTAAATCAATGTGCAGTAACTGGTGCTACTGCACAGTAGTGCTGGTCCATGGGTTTTTACAGATGCTAACTGCACAGTAGCCTAATACTACTGTACAGTAGCGTATTAGCATGGGTTTTACCTGGCACACTACTGTGCAGCATTATTAGGGTATTGCACAGTTAGCGTCTTATGTAGATGCACCTACTGTGATTACTCACCTTGGTATGAGAGTAAACATATCCATCAGGGTTTGTGACAACCAACAGGAAAATATCCATTGTGTCTAGCAGAGAGGTGATAGATGGATCAGTCCCATGCTCAGATGCAATCTAAGCGGAGACAAAGTACATTCCAATATGATTATAACACTAGTTTCTTCTCCTTTATGTATACCCAGTCAAAATTATGTACCAGGGCTGGACTGCACAGGGTTGGAGTTGTGAACTCAGCAACATTTCATCGGTGCCTTAGAAATTTTTAGCAGAATTCAGGCTCTTGTTTAAAACTAATTGGATTTTTTTGGCCTTTCTTTTAGCAAAGAGAACTGTCCCAGTACAAGGCTCTTTCCATGAGTCTTCAGGCTGAAACAAAGACTCCGAGAGATGTGAACTTTCCCCATTCACCTCAGCGAAACCTGATGATGACAAATAAGGAGAAGCACTTGAAAAGTCATTCTCTCATTTGCGGTACCCAATCTTCAGTATTTTGTTCTGACTGTGTCTATTGTCTATGTCCTACAAACGTGTAGAGATAGTACTTCAAATGGAGAAATGGGAATCAAGATTCCAGGATAATATTCCTACACTCTTGCTTGAAAGATGGGTACAAGTAAGTTTTTCTTTCAAACATAGGTATCAATGGGTAGTATTCAGCACCCCTTCCAGAACAAACAAAGTCAATTATGTCGGAAATGACCTTTTGAGCTGTCCACAGTGCTGTGGCCTGGGTGACCCACTCTCGGGCATGGATACCAGCATCAAGCCAAATAGCGGGACGGTCTGGTCCTCCAGTGCTGAACTGCCAAATGAAAAGTAAACTTTAAGATCATTCACTAGCATGTGTCCTCCATCCCCCACACTAACATTCTTTCTTTCTTTTTGTATCTGAACTATTTGAAATGACTGACAATGAACAGGTCTGACTGGAGTTGCATGTTATTAGATTAAGGTAACAGAATAAAGAATCAGACTCAGTGATGTCACTTTATACCACTAATGTTTAATTTGCCACAATTTAGAAGTTCACTCTTGTTACATCAGCTTTCTGTCCTCCTCTATGCCTGTAGATCAGTGGTTCTCAACCTATTTGCCACAGTGGGCCACACTTGCAGCTCTCAATGTGTTATGTGGGCCACACCCACACAACTTAGTTCCTGGGTGTGTCTACATGTGCATTAGACCCCGGAGCAGTTTACTCCCCAGCAGGCATCTACATGTGTAGAGAAACGGGAGCAGATTTGCTGCTAATGGAAGCAAACAGCTCTCACTTCCTGGGGCCCTGCTACTGCCAGAGGGAGCTCTACCTGCCCCTTCGGTGCTCACCCAGGGGCTGACAGGGAGAAGGGGGCCAGGAAACAGCTATCTCCTAGCTAGGGCTGAGACATTGCTCCCTGCCCTGGGGGGCTGCCTGCTGCAGAGGAGGGGACAATGTCCCTGTGCCCCAGCAGCAGGGAGCTCCCAGCCCCAGCTTCCTGAATGGGACAGGGGACTTGGAAAGAGCTGCAGGGGCGGGGCAGGTCCCAGCCCCCTGCCTTGATCTGCTGGTGGAGCAGCTAGCAGGGATTCCCCACCCAGCTGAGGGCTCATTACTATCATCCAATCAGGCCATGGGGCTGGGACCTGCCCCTGACTGGAACAGTTCCCAGCTCCCACTCTGCAATCACGGGGCAGGGGCTGGAGAGCTTGTTCCCTGCTCAGCTCCATGATGACACACCTGGGTGGGGAACAGACTAGAGAACCTGTTCCCCGCCCAGCTCCGCAATCATGGGCCAGAGTAGGGAACAGGATCCCCATCCCCTGCCAGCAGGGAGCTCCCAGTGCCAGCTCTGTGACCACGGAGCCAGCGCTGGGAGATAAGGATAAAGATCCTGAGCGATAGGGATAAGGAGATAGGGATCTCCCAGCACTGGCCCCATGACATTGGAACTGGTGCTGTGAGATAAGGATCTCCCGGCCCCCGATCACGATCTTGGAGCAGGGGGGCTTCAAGCTCCCTGCTGCAAGGGCAGAGGGACATAGTCCTTTCCCAGGCTCTGATGGCGGAGCCCACCCTAGCAGCAGGCAGCTCCGGAGGGCAGGGAGCAATCTCCCACCCCTGGTGGCCAGCTGACTGGGAGCAGATTTACTCCCAGCCTACATGAGCACTACTGCACAGTTAGTAATTGCAAGTAAATTTGCTACTTGCATTTGCAGGTAGCAAATGTACTTGTGATTAGCAAGGTTTACTGCGCAGTAAGCACGTGTAGACACACACACTTACAGTCAACTATGCTACTGTACTTTGCAGTAAAGTGTCTTGTGTAGATGCATCCCCTGTGCATCTATTTAAAAATTGTTTTAATAGGATGCCACATGGGCCGCAGCAGAGGGCTGATTGGGTCACATGCAGCCCATGGTCTGTGGGTTGAGAAGCACTGCTGTAGATGAACATATTGGCTAAGTACAGAAAGTCAAAAAGCTTGAGGCTGACTTGATTCAATCCTTGCAGGTTAAACTAAACTGCATAAAGTGAACTGATAAGCAAGTAAACAGACATGCATTTTTGATTCTGGAAATGGAGCCACACGCCTGCAATGGCCCAGGCCAGAAGCCAGGGTGCGCTAGAGCATGCTTACCTGCTTGGATGGAGCAGACAGTTTGGGCCAAGCTGTGAATGGGACTTTGCAGGGGAGATGCAAAGCATCCTGGGATGCTGGGGGACTGAGAGTTAACTTGACTCTGGACAGAATTTCAATAAACTGATTTAACCTAAATCAGTTAAGTCTGATACTGAATCTATCCAGGTTCATCTTAAACCAGTTTCAGCCATTTTGAAAGTGGTTTATACGCACTGAATTTCTGTTGTGTTACAGACTTGAACGGGTTTCTGATCACTTATACTGATTTGTGTGTCATTTCTGTCCCTAGCCATCTTCATCAATCCAAAATGGTTGCATTATTAATCATTGTTATTAGGCATCCATAATCCTCCAAAAACTGAAAGTATGCATAATTGTTCTAAATGATGGTATGTGGTTGGTTATGTGCCACATAAGAACTAAGCAAGCAGCTCTGTCTCAGGCACTGCAGTGGCTTTCCCTTTTGGGCTTGGGTAAACTGGGAAAGCTCATTTGTTAATTTAACCTGACAAAGAATTAGTCTGGTTCTTCTCTGTTTGGTTCAAACCAAGCATCGTATTTTTCATAGTGCTGCAAACCCTGACGTATAAAATCATTTACAGATTCCAGAGCATATTTTTACCAGAATCAGAGTCTTGGCATAGTGTTTTAGCCAAATTTCAGCACAAGTAATCCAGTTTAATCTCCCTAAGTCTCTCTGCACTAGCAGTGGGCAAAAGTTATTCTTAACTTCTTATCTCAGAAAGTATCAGTGAGTGTTGCTTATCTCTGCCAAAGAGCTGCCTCATTTATTTTCTGAGGTGGCTTCAGTTTAGGGGTGGGTGAAGTGATCTCTCTCATACATAAAAATATACAGAGATGGACAGAGGCAGACATGCGCTTTGGGGAAGTTTTGGATTGCACGGGATTAAAGGAGTGTAATAACATTATTATTATCTCTGCATAGGAAAAGTACCTTGAGCACATACAAGGGCCGCTTTTCATAAGACTCTCCAATCTGGAGTTTGCTCACAAGACCGTGGTACTCAGCTGCAAGATCATCCATTGCTTTGTAAATCTAAAATGGAAAGTAACAGTAAAGTAATCAAGAGAGTTGTATTGTACGGATGCCTCTTAAAATACTTTTTCACCTTTGGCCTTCATCATTCAGGCCAGCTTCCAGTCTCATGCCCCTGACTTCAGTGCAGCCAGTGCTGCTGCTCATCCCTACATCCAACAAAACAATGCCACGTCCTCAAACTCTGTTTACTTCAGGTACTAGTTCAAAATTGCTCTTCCCATTTTTTAGAACTTCCTGATGATGCAAGAGCTTTGTCTCCACTGCACTTGCTGCTTTCTGCCTCTGGATATTTCTCCATTCACTTTCCACTCTCTTCTGGAAACACCTCTCCTGTTCCTTATATGGCTGCATTTTTTCTTTCCTTTTGTTGATTGTCTATCATCTTTGATGCCAAAATTTTCTAATTCTTCAGAGCATTTAGAGATATAGTTTATCTTGGATAATCCACATAAAAAGCACTTTGCTCTGTGTACTTTTGAGAAGGGGATCCCCTCATTATCAACTCTTTTGCTTTTCCACTTCTGCCCTCCAAAGCTCTGTTTCACAAGAGGCATCCTCCTTAGTTGAGAAAGACTAGGATCAGCTCCTCCAGAGCTCAACAGCGTCACTCTTTGTTGGCCAGAGTGAGGTTCCTGCATGGTACTGTATGGTGTCACGTGTCCCAAGCCAAAGGCGTAAGCCTTCGTTCCTGGGGTAGCATGCCAGCTCTAGATCGATCATTAAAGCAATTTAAGTCAGTGTCACAGAAGAAAACTGTACGAAGTCATTTTTCTCACGCACTTAGTGGGTCTAATGCTAATCTCAGTCATGCCAAGATAAAGCTGCAGTTATTCTACAAATCATTGGAGCTACACTGGTGAAAAAACAGCTCAAGTGAGATCAAAATGAACCCCTTTGTAACTGGAAGAGAATGTATACCTAGAGTTCAAACTGTATAAAATAAGGCTGTGTTATATGCCACTTAATAGCTGTCTATCACAAAACAAATCTAATACAGGAGCCCACTTTTGCATACTGAAGCCACACAGTAACTGCAGCAACAGGTTAGGCCACATTTACCCAGGAATCCAGGTTCCTGCAGCACCAGAAGAGAGCACTTAATGGGATTAGTCCTAGCCTAATAGTGTAGGAGCCCGGGTCATAAAAGAGATCCTGCAAACCTGAATTAAGATGCACTGATAGAAATAAGTGGAAACCGGAGGCTGGAATATCAAGGGTTCTTCAGGTCAGCAATGAGGATTACTGGCAGAGGTTGTGAAGCAGATAAAACCTGTCTGAGTGGAATAGCTGGCAAAAGGGGGAGAGAATACACGCT